ACCTGACGATACTTGTTGGAGATGATGTGTTGAATAAAGTTATGTGGTACTTAACGTCATCTCTAGATAAAGTTGTATACTTCCAAACAGGGCAGAGATGTTTTTCTTCTTTTACTAGTCCTTTAACGTTATCCCCACCTCTCGCAGTCGCCATTTTATTCAGTTTAGCTGCCTGTTCCACCAGAGACTGACCTCTGGTGGCGCGTGCTGTGCATTACCATACGTCACCTCAATACGGCTTCGCCATATCAGTTAAATAGAAAGACTAGTGTCTGTATTTTTGCCAGTGTTGAAAGTCATACCGTCGGCATTTCCAAGTACCCCTGTATACTGTAATACCTTGATACTGCCCAAGCCAAAAGCATATCATCAAGCACTTCTGTTGTGTTTTTGATCTTCATTTCCTAGATGTCCCCTCCTATTCCAACAGTGTTATCAGGCCTGTATTAAATTTGTGGTGGCTATTGCTCCTGTTGCTGATTACTTACTTCTCTGATTTATTTTAAACTGCTCTCTATGCTGTCAGAAGTATATACCTGTGATGAAGATTTCTTTCAGCAAGGATGTTCCTCTTATAATCTAGGTGGAAGTAATGACTCCTTATCAACCTGTAAGAGATGAAAAATGGAGAACAAATGGTTGAAAGTAGTGTGGATAACAACATTAAAGGCATAATTTATGATCAAACCAAAAGGGTTGCCTCACCACCAAAGTTCAAAAAGACAGGAGTTAACTTGCAGTCATTCCCAAAATTGATTAACAGGTCTTTTAATTTACAGATACCAACAAATAACCTTATTACTAACCTTAATAGGTATGTTTACAGAAGTAAAATAGACTCCTACCTAGAATGTTTTATCATACATCATGAATACACACACAGGGGTTAGCCTCTTCAAATGTACACATACTTGTAAATGCTATGATCCAGAAATAAAGATTAGACAAGTTGACAAAGTTGAATTACAAAGACATTGTTTCATTTTTAAATTGCATGTGGCTTTAATTTATGTGTGTGATAAACAAGCAGCAGTGGGTGTGACGTGTGCATACAGAAGCAAATTCATAGCCTATCAAAGCCACGGTAAACAAGCTGTCAATCTATGAAAGGTCTTAATTTGAAAAGTAAGCATGACCAAAAGACCCATAGAGCTATTAAATATAATCACACAGTATCAGCAGTGTTATGCTGCTCATGTTGCTGCGCTGTTCTCTTAAAACCACCCGTGTGGCATTCAGGGTCCATTTTCCTCTTACATGTGAGCACTTACAGGCTCGAGCACATAACCCCAACCATCACAGTGGAAAGCAGACAGCTTCAAAGCGCTTTTAAGAGCTCAGGAAATTGGAGAAAACGAGTAACAAAAAACAAAAAGAGGCTTGGCTCGATAAAAATCTCTGATAGAAAATATGACAGTTTACCAGTAATGTTGATGTGCTTAATATTTTTATGTAAACATAATGCCTCCCTGCTTTATAAAGTCAGTGTAATCCTCCCATGATCACTAACTGCTTTGTGATGTGGGCGGCATTGTCACAGGCTGAGTGAAACGGTAATGCCGTAATCCAGCAGGGCTGACTCATCGAGATGTGGATTAGGGTGCTGCATTCTCCAGCATTGAAACAAAGAGCAAGAACAAAGAAAAAATACTCATCAGCAGAAATTCATCAGCAGCAATTGGCCATGTTTAACTTTTTGTTCTTAACCAGGATGTTCATTGTGTTTTGAGGGACTTAATAATAAAACAGCCGGGGCTTACAGCTTTCATCAGCGTTTGAGGGTATAGACATTTGTGGAAGTTGATGTGAAAAGCAATTAGACATGACGTTCCTTCCTTCTCCCTCCAAGGAGAACCCTTCCATGTTCTACCATGATTAAACAGATCGCAGGACTGGAAGTACAGCTCACCTACTTTCCACATAGGAGCTTATAGAGAAATCTTTGGTGTGCTTTTCTTTGTGACACATCGTTACAGCTCGTCTTAAAAAGACACACAGAAATACAGTGTAACATACTGATAAAGCAGAAGATAGGAGTGGTGAGAAAAGTTTGTTAGGCGTCAGTTCTTCTGTCCAAAGACTTTTTGAAAGCAAGTCCAACCAGAGAATATGTTGATATTGGAGGTGTTGATATAAATCTATGATTATCTTCAATGACAATAGGTTAAGTTTGGCACTTGATTAAAGGGACAGTTCACCCCCAAAATCAAAATACATATTTTTCCTTTAAACTGTAGTGCTATTGATCAGTCTGGATTGTTTTGGTGTGAGTTGCTAAGTGTTGGAGATATCAGCTGTAGAGTTGTCTGCCTTCTCTTGAATAATAGAAATCATTACTGCTTACTAAAAGGATAACTTCGGTATTTTTCAACCTGGGCCCTATTTCCCCATGTGTATGTGTGCGTATGATTCATAGGTACAACTCGTTCTAAAATTGGTTCAGTATTGAGGGAGGCGGATGCAGCCGGCAGCCGCGAAACTAGCTAAAACTGTAACGGGGGCAAATGCGTCCCGTATAAGTTTGCGCATTAAAAGTACTTTTTTTTTTGCCACTGATCACCAGTGCTATCTCTCTAAATAGTATACTAAGCGTTTCCCTTACCTCTGGGCTGTGTGACGTCATCTCGCGAGAGCTTTGCTCCACTGTGTCTGTAGCTCTCTCTACTCGTGGGACAGCCGTTTTCTTGAGGAAGACGTGTTTCGGGATTGGATGTCTTCTCTTCTTCGGCTGGCAGTAGTCATCTTGGGAGAAGTGAGCTCTGCAAGGCGCATTGTCTGGACAGGAGTGTTAGCATCCATTTGTAGCACAACTAGCCACAACTTCAGCATCTCGCCATCCGACAAAGGCAGCCTGTGAAAGCTGTACGGGGTGTTGCGCGACATCCTGTTCTTACGACTCGAATAAGCACAAACACGAACCATTGTTTTCAATCGATGCTCAGCTGTACTATGGGACAACCAGCGCCACTCAGAGCGGCGCTCTGCTTGGTTCCTCTGTTTTCTTTAGCCCAGAGCAAGTGAAGGGTAAGGGAAACATTTAGTATGCTATTTACAGAGATAACACTGGTGATCTGAACCGGTCAGTGGCGAAAAAAAGCACTTCTAATGCGCAAACTTATACGGGACGCATTTGCTCCCGTTACAGTTTTAGCTCGTTTTGCGGCTCCCGACTGCATCCGCCTCCCTCAATACTGAACCAATTTTAGAACAAGTTGTACCTATGAATCATACGCACACATACACATGGGGAAATAGAGCCCAGGTTGAAAAATACCGAAGTTATCCTTTAAGGTAATCCACGGACCTTGTTTTGAGCAGTTTTATGTAGAAACAATTTTCATTCTACCGAACTACCTTCACCAATGACATTACTGCCCAAAAGTTAGCGTGCATTTACTCATGGACGAGAGGCTCATACTCGTAACAGCAATATGTAAACATTAATGCCGTCCTCTTTGGCTGAGCTGTGATGTAAGATAGCTCAATAATGGTAGGTGAGCTAGCACATTGGTTGGTTGGTGTAGTTTGAAAGAAAGAAAATAGTTCTTCCATGAAATTGCTCACAACAGGGTCTGTGGGTACTCTTGTGTAACCATCATCTCTGAAAGAGAAACTGCTGTTTTTAATTTTTTAGTTTTATCGTATCCCACTGAGAGCCGAACTTCTGTTTGGTGTGCATTTTTAATTTCTTTAATTGAGGACCCAGTGAGTATAAAAAAACGTTACATTGCCAACGATAATTAAGTCCCAATGTCTTCAAACAAGCACTTCCTAATTAAGGTGCATAGCTGGTTACTGTTGCTAAACTTGCTCAGATTTGTCGCCATATCAAACTATAAACATTATTAATCATAAATAAATAAGTTCAACCATATAATGTGATCAGGTTTTGGACCTTGTCCACTTTTGTATTGGGATCAGCTGTAGACTGACTTGGCAGAGATGGCTGCCATCTTGTTTTTACATTGGATTAGTGTATTGTGCTCTTACGACCACTAGATGGCACAAAAAAGTGTCTACGAACGAGGACAACAGGTCTGAGTTAATGAGAATAAGGTATAATGCAAGTAAACCCAAAATGTGATGTCCTCATATTGGGACACAGGGTTTCAGGAGGATATTTTAGAGAAGGCGGACATCTCTACAGTCGATATCCCCAACACTCAGCAACTCACACCAAAACAATGTAGAGTGATTAATAGCACTACAGGTAAGAGGAAAAACTTGATCAAAGTAAACTCTAGTTTGATAATCAGACTGAATTGCCTTTTTGTTTCACCTTATTCAAATTTCGACTTTCTGTTTTTGTGGTGGAGGTTGTAGTTGATGTTTTCCTCCTGCTGACATCATTTTCATTCAACACACAAGCTTTGGCAGCGGTTGCCAGGAGCATTTCACATTTTTTATGACAATCAAAAACAAAATGCTAATTTTACAAATCAAAAACTGCCTCAGTCTCATGCCACACTTTTCATGGATGTAGCTATGTTAATAGTTACCTGTATAGTAATATTCCATTCTTAATTCTGCCTACGAAGCTCTGAGCCGATGATTGTTTCTCCTGTCAGGGGAACAGACATCAATGAAAGAAACACCAGACTAGGTAAAAGCTAATGTGAATTGTTGGTCTGTAAAAAGATGTGTACTGTGGCCCGAGGCATCAAAATTATTCACCAGCCCAACCTCCACACCACACACACTGGGCAAACTATTTTCTGCAAAGGCTCAGAGTTGGCAGTGAACGTAAATCATATGCATAAGACTCGTCCAATATGACCATATATATGCTCTCATGAGGAAACTGTAGTTGAGAATAATAACGAGAGACAAGACATAACTTTCCAGATTCCAAAGCATCATTTTGGTTTCTAATGTAGTGGAATAATAACTGTGGTAACAATGACAACACATTAGTTTGCTTTCACAGATTCACGTTCACTATACAGAAAATAACTCAATGATGTGCAGTAAATGATGATGATGATTGTTCTCTCATTTAGGCATCGCTGGAAACCCAGTGCTCTTCAATGAGAACGGAGACGCTCCTGGACGCTACGAGATCTACCAGTACCAGATCCGAAACCGAACAGCCGAGTACAAAATAATTGGCCACTGGACGGATCAGCTCCATCTCAACGTGAGCATTGCCTTTTCTGTTCCATGCCCACACATCTTCACAAAAGGATCGGCGGCATTCAGCCTACAAGTGTTCTGTTTGTGTTAGTGTTTGCAGTGAAAATCTTTCTTTGAAAAGTTGTTTTCTCTCAGCTCTGCAGCTGCGTGTTTGCTCACTAACCCCTCCCAAACCATTTGATAGCGCTTAGTGCAATCTTCAAAGGTGTAAATATCCAGAGGGCGCTTTAAATGATTAACAGGGCGGACTGTGATGAAAAGAAAGCCACGAGAGCTTAAGGACAGACATATTTAATATCATCTCTCCAGACGGCATCACTGACTTCCAAAAAACAATACTGTGGGCAGGGAGTGTGATGAAGTAACGGTATTATAACAGTAAATTACATAAAGGAACCAAACAAATTATGTTTTGACAAAATGAAGAGGAAGCCTTGGGCATGCAATAGAGAGTACAATAGAACACATGAAGCAGCTTGAGAGGAGCTTTGCCTTCTTTACCTCTTTCAACAGCGTGTGCCGTGGAAGAAAAAAGAATAAATAAAGCGACGTTTGTGGTGGGCACCTACTGTGAAACGTGCCAGTTCTGACTCTAAAGCCGTATTTAATTAGTGTTCTTTGAGTTCTTAATTAAATGCACATTTAGAGACAAATTTACCGGCTTTGAATGAACGGTCACAATTGAATAAAATTGATAACATAACATCAGAGAGAGCAGACCCCGTTTGAAATGACGTATTTAATTTATCTGTACAAGTATGCTTGTAAAAGGAGAAAATCCACAAAGAGCAGCCTCCTGAAATGGAATTAATCTTTTATTTCTCTGATCATAGACAGCTGATTGATTTTTTTTTTTTTTTAACACAAACAACTATTTACCAAAGAGAAACACTATGTCAGTTCCCTGCAGAGCAAACAATGGGTTTCCCCTTTTCTCTCGTGTCCTGCCCTTTTGATAATTTGACCTCACACTGGAAAATTTTGCTGAGAAACGCTTCATTTGACCCCGGTTTGCCCTTTCCCACCCCCCACCCAAATAGATAAATAAAGCCAAGTAGCATGGGAGGATACTAAAGGGTAGTTCAGGGCCCGGTTCAAACACCCACACAGCAAATAACATCTAGATTGTCCTTGACCTCCAGGGGTGCTAGGGATCTTTTTGGATCAATAAAGCATCACTACCTCAACATGCCACCATTTTTACAGGATACCGACAGTTTAATAATCCACACGTCTCTTCTATTGTGTCTTTGACTCTCTCTCTGCTTCTATTCGTCAGTGTTTACACGAGGTCCTTGAACTGCTTGATCTGCACGAATTTTGAGGGGAGAAAAATCAGAAATTGCTCAGCATTTCTGTTTTTTTTAAAAATTCGTGTCACAGTCTCAACAGCGGTGTGCCATCCCAGGGTTTCCCACACATGTATTGCGGCAGCCAGCCATGGTAACAACATCTGCCGCCTTGTATTGATTTTCTACATTATGAGCGTCATTAGAATATATATACAGTTCAGTCATGCATTGCACAACAGAGCGTACTCTGGGCAGTAGAACGGCAGGCACAGTGAAAGTGAAACTTAACTGTTTATTGTGCTGCGTCTTAAGCCAGTTCAGTCCAAAGATTTGTGATGAGATGAGTTGAAACTTGCAACAACTTGCGATGTGCCGTTTTGCAATGTTCTAAAAACCTGTGGGTTCACGCCAATGCAACTAGAAAAGATGGTGTATCATCTCTATGCAACAACTCTCTGTCCTTTCACTCTTATTTCCAGCTTTTCAGGCTTATTTTGTGGCTGAATATAATTTGTAGCTTCTTAAAATATGAATGACTGTATTCATAATAAATACGCCACAATAATATAAATGACCAGCGCCAATTAATTAGTCAATGAGAATGTGTGTGTGTGAGGGAGCATAAGCACACACAGTGAGCAGCAGCAGCAGCAGCTACCCACTGTCCGACACCAGCACACTGAGGACGGAAACAGAGGGCTCGGCAGGAACAGAGCACTTACTGCAGCAAGAAAACGCACCGTCTGTGGTCATTTTGACTTGACCAGCGGACTTCACCACAAGACGATTGGCTGTTGAAACAGGTGATGCGCTAAACGTTCTAAAACCAGCCGCCGGCAATTTGACCAGCGGAGTGTCAGGTGACACCATCAGCCGGCTTGAGTCGAGCTCAGACGGCCAGCTCACACTTTTCTCTGCAACGTTCTAAAACGGTTTCTTGTCGACGCAAATCTTTGATCCGAACTAGACTTAAAAGTTTGCTTTCACTCGCGTCTGCAGCAGCTGCTCCTCTCATCCAGTCAGCTCTGTTTGGATCGGGTCACTGATCAATTATCCAGCCTGCAACTCAAACTCCACAAACTGAAAAGAAAAAAAGGATTCATGAAGAGTTCTGTGCTGCGTTTACAGACCCACAAAAACCTTCAAATTTAGAAAGCAGACACAGGATGAGACACAGGGACAAACACATACAAAAGTAGTGAGTTTCTGTGGTTACGCTGATGCTCTCACTCTGAAACTGTCTCTGGAGTGGAACTGTTTAAAGCACGTGAACATGGTTCATTATAGTAGTATAAGCACCGTAGCTCTCATACCATTCAAATGTTTTGTTGAGAATTTTACCTATAAGAGTGAGATGAGTAACCCTTCACTGAAAATAGAGACATTGATCACATCATGTATTTGTTCAGTAAAAAAATGATATTTGAAAATTTAAGTACAGCTCTTGAAAATGACAAAATAGTGCTTGAAAAAGTACTTGAAAGACTTTGAATTTCATTTTCATTTCATTACTTGCTGTATGACCACTGATTCATGTCTAACTGTGTCCCTCTGCCACCCTCGCAGGTTCGCACGATGCAGTGGCCCGGCGGAGTCCGTCAGATCCCTTCCTCAATCTGCAGTCATCCCTGTCAGCCCGGTGAGCGCAAGAAGATTGTCAAAGGCATCCCTTGCTGTTGGCACTGCGAGCGCTGCGATGGCTATCAGTACCAGGCAGACACCTACACGTGTAAGATGTGTCGCTTTGATTTGCGGCCCAATGTGAATCACACGGGCTGCGTTCCAATCCCCATTGTTAAGCTGGAGTGGAGCTCTCCGTGGGCAGTCATCCCTGTGCTCATTGCAGTCGTTGGCATCATGGCCACTTTGTTTGTAGTGGTCACATTTATTCGCTACAACGACACTCCCATTGTGAAAGCATCCGGCCGAGAACTAAGCTATGTGCTGCTAACTGGCATCTTCCTCTGTTACGCCACAACGTTCCTGATGATTTCTCCGCCTGATGTAGGAATTTGCTCCCTCCGAAGGATCTTCTTGGGTCTGGGCATGAGTATTAGTTATGCCGCCCTGCTCACAAAAACCAATCGTATTTACCGCATCTTTGAGCAGGGCAGCATGTCCATCAGTGCACCCAGGTTCATTTCTCCAGCCTCCCAGCTGGTCATCACGTTCACCCTGGCCTCAGTGCAGCTGCTCGGAGTGTGCATCTGGTTTGGCGTGGATCCCTCCAAGGCCATTATTGACTATGAGGACCAGAGGACGTCGAACCCGGTGATGGCTCGTGGTGTGCTCAAGTGTGACATCTCTGACCTGTCTCTCATCTGCCTGCTGGGCTACAGCATGCTGCTCATGGTCACCTGTACAGTCTACGCCATTAAAACCAGAGGGGTGCCGGAGACCTTCAACGAGGCCAAACCCATTGGTTTTACCATGTACACCACCTGCATTATTTGGCTAGCATTCATCCCAATCTTCTTTGGCACGTCACAGTCCACAGAGAAGGTAAGCCGACAACTGCTGCTGTTGTGCAGTTTTTATTTTCTTTTGTTAAAATGCTTTTTCTCCAGCTCATGGCAATACTTCAAGGGTTTTAGAAATCTACACAGCTACACAAAAGCTTCTTTAATACCAAATCAGCTTGTCCTTTTTCATTTCTGTGTTTATGTCTTTCTTTGTTTATTTCTTCTTGGTTTGTTCACAAGAATGTTATAAGTCATTAAGTCCATCTACTGAAGAACGGTACTTAAGTACAATGTTGAGGTACTTGAACCTTCTGTTCTGTGCTAATATTTAATTTTCCTTCCCTACATCTAAGAGAGAAATGTGCTTTTGACTTCACTGTCTATAGTTACTACGATAACGTTGAACGTTTGACACAGGTTGCCTGCATCTTCCACCTGTGGAAAAGATTATAGACAGAGTCTGAAAATAGGCATAACTTTAGTAAAGCAAAATATGTTTTTTTCTGTGTTTTTATCCCGTTTACCATTTGTCTTGTGACCCCTTGCGGGGGTCCTGACCCACAGGTTGGGAAGCACTATTTTAAAGTAATCAACAAAACTAATCAACAGTATTTAGGCAGTTACAATTAGCTCTACCTAGGACAGCTACATACAGTTCTGTTAACATGTTCATGCATAAAAAAAAAAAAAAAAAATCATCTGATAATATAAGACACTGTATTTAGTGTACCCAATATTTACATTTGGTCAGCTTGTATCACCTTTTTGTGCCGTTGTCTTGTGTAGTACTCCAGCAGACGAAAATATCAACAGCCAAAATGTCCGGTTGGAAATACACCAAATAATTAGATAAATTCATTAGTAGCATATCAAACAGCCTAATATAGTGTGACCTGTAAGACATGTTGCCATGGTAACTTAAATATAAACTTATATTATGCAGACCAGATTTTAGGATCTTAATAAAAGACGGATCTGTTTATTCACTGAAGCTGCAGAGAGTGCGTCACTGCCTCCTCATAGCATACTCCACATATGTGGGAGTCATGGTCTTTCTTTAGCGTGCTGGTGTAGGTGACAGCATCATGTATCATGTTCCCCAGGAAGACCTTTAACATGAGAGATAGGCTTCACTCCAAGCCCTGCTTGTCAGATGTCACATGGCTTGATGATTCCCTGGATATTATTATGGAGGACTTTTTAGGCTCTTTCTTCAAATATATGATTTGGTTTGGATATAAAGACAATTATAGCGTTTGTGTTTTATTGTTGTTTAAATTTAAGCTATTATGTCTATTTAAAATACGTATGTGCAGTAGTTATTTTATGTGGCCGGAATTTTGTAATATTAACAACCATATTGGTGATCAAAAAAAACAAAACAAACTGTGTTAACTCTGAAAACACTTTTGTCAGGAGCTGTTGGGTTTAAAGAATACTTTTACTTTGATAGTTATTACATGTATGAGTACATTTTGCTGTTTATACGTCTGTATCTTTACTTTTTTTATTATTATTTTTAATCAAGTTTTTATTGGTTTGAAAGGCTCGGTACATGGTATACATATATTATTTTCCGGGCATCCAAGAATACAAGGCACATATTTTTTATAATATGGAGGTGGACTACAGTGCGTAAAGAAACATGAACATTTAAGTTTAATAGAAAGTGAAGAAAACATGTTACACATATGTCCTCATACATCACTCTAAAGGATCACATAGTCACATAGCAAACTCATAATACTAGAATTACAAAAATAAGTACTTCTTACTGCAGATTTGTCTACTTTAACAACTGTAGTTCAGCATTGTTTAAATTTGTCCCTCAGTCCCACGCCGAACGCCAGTGTTTATTTTCTTATCAAAATATTCCACTCTGCCTTTATTTCATGATGAGAGCAATTTTAGAAATAAACCCAGCAGCTAGAAACAAAAAAAATAAGGGGTGTCATGTTGAAGCCTCGTGTTTCAAATCTACGAACAACCTACCAAATGTGGATACACAGTGTTATAAATGCGTTCTCTAATAACTGCACGCAGGCCTGTGACTCACTTCTGTGTGATGGCTGCATGCCACAGTGCATTAGAGACCACTGAGCTGTTTACACAAACACAAGCTCACACTCGTATTCCCGTGTCAAATCAGTGCGCCTGACCTCATGAACCGTGGACCTGGATCACATCCAGTGGGAGCACTGGGAGGCTACAGGTCAAGAGGGATCCAAAAGGGACATGGAAATGGAGGCTGGGCTTGGAGTTCGGGTTGGGTCTGGGTACAAAGCCAAAGGGGTACAACAATGACAGTAGAAATGTGTAGATCCAGTTGAAAGAGGTCTTTTGGCGGTGTAACAAAAGGGGCTCAGTGGCTACAAGAGAGGACAGTGGTGAGGGAAAAGCCTCATACTGGCAAGGAATCTATTGGCGTTGCCAGCATGGGTCTGACAGATGCAACAAATTAATCCTTACCTCCTTCCCTCTGGGATTAAACAAAACAATGTATCAAAACGCTGGCCTGGAAATCTGGCTGTGATAGTTACCTTTGTGGAAAAACCTTCTTGAGAGACAGAGAGTGTGCATTGTGTCACCCTCAGCATCCCAAAATAATTTCTATAGTCTACAGCATTGCAGAAAATATGCATATGACTGCAGCCAATTGAACAGCATTAATAATGCAGGATGTGACCAGTAGTACAATGACTTGTTTTCATATGCTGCATGTTGTGTTATCACCACTGAGTCCAAACTACTGTGGATACTGCATACTGGCCTCCTCTTCTTACCCCATAAATCTCCTGCTGTTAACACTAAAATGAGCAACAGCAGCTACATGTTGAAAACAACCCGAGACCTGCTGAGCTCGACCGTTACACTTACTGAAATACAATCAGGAAAATGTACGGAAACGTCAGCTACCATCATCATACGGTCTTGATCACCACACAGAGTAAAGAAAAAGCGGCCCGAGTTCAAAGTGCACGTTATTTTTTAATGTGACTGTTGCACATCTTAAGTCCTATGTCAACAGCAGCCATGGATATCAGCGAGTTCTTTGTTTAATCATTCCATCTCCTCGCTCTGAAGATGAAAGAGAATTATACAATCACACTGAGTGAACGGCTTTTTTGGAGGATGAGGTAATCCATTAGCTAGCGTGGCTTTGAATAGTAAAACAGAAGTGAAAAGAATTCTTTGAAGGATAAGTGAAGTCCTACTTTCTTCTTCTTCTTCTTCACCTCGGTTGAATTTAATTTACAAACCCTGAAAAACTTCTCCCACACAGTTTTAATGTAAGGCACTCCAAATTATATTAGTCACTCATTAATTATTATTTCCTGTGGAAAGTTGTACACACAATGTCTGGGAGATAGTTTCACTTTTATCATTTGGAAAACTTTTACCATTGCCCTGAGCGTTGTTAAGGTAAGACATGAAATAGGAGACAAAATGGAAATCTTGCTTCAGGGAAATGTCCTACATTTTTTTTCTTTCCTCATTTGAGAGAGAATAATCATATTTAATATATAACCAAAAGGCCCTTTGTGTGTCGAGTTGGAAAAAACTTAATTTAACTCACACTCTAATGTGGTTTAGTCTAGTCAGACCATGCAGCACGAAGTTACTTTGTTATTGTGGATGATCCTCCCAAGACTCATGACAGAATCCCCAAAAACCAAATGTGTTTAAGCTCAAGTGACAGAGCAAGCAAAGGAGGAGGTACTGTGATGCTGTTATAGAGACTATACCCATATGCTTCTGAAAAGGAAAAAAAATCTATATATATATTTTTAAACATGCCCACATTGTTCCCTAACCTTAACCTTAAGTGGTTACTATTGTAACCATGACAACAATGTAGTATTTTCCACCCAATAAGATCTTTCCTCATAGATATAAAATGAGAGCAGAACAGACATTCCCATTCAAGTCAGTGTAGCAGGATGGTCAAAGCGGCAGCCATTTTAATGTGTGCCGTTGCCATTGTAAACATTGGAGCAGGCTGACTTCTGTATTAACATACTAACTTGCGGCAAGTTGCGAACTCACAGAGGTATGGTTTTTCAGTAACGACCAAACCAGCAGTGGCGTAGTATCATTTTGAAATAAGAAAACTGTTACTTTTAAATTGTCACCCTAACTGTTATTTCCCTTTTTATTTTGTTGCCATTAATCATATGTTTGTTGAAATATGATGTAATGCTACTGTAGCTGCCTCCAAAGAGCGAGTGAGAGCTGCTGCTCTCAGCTGAGAGGCATCAAGAGACGACAGGGATAAACGGCGTGCAGATCAGCTTATTTTCACATCTAACTCAGTGAATTAAAGATTTATTTTAACTGAACCAGAGTTGGTGATTGTTGGAATAGTGGATTGACTAACTAGATGATCAACAGTATATGGAGGAGTTAAAAATTGCACAACCTTTGACATCTGCAGCAGTAAAATAATAATAAAAATACATTTTATTTGTATAGCGCTTTTCAAAAACACTCATAGACACTTTACAAAAACAGCTGAAAAACAAACTGAACAGGTGGGTTTTGACCAAAGATTTAAAGGAGTTTAAGTCTGTACAGTTACAGATGTGTTGGGGGAGAGTATTCCAGAGGGAGGGGGCAGCAGTGGAGAAGGCTTTGTCCCCCCAGGTGCTTGGTCCTGTGTGGTAGAGAGAGATTTGCATCAGAGGAGCGGAGACTGCGGGAGGGGGTGTGATGGTGCAACAGGTCAATGAGGTAAGATGGGGCCTGGTTATGGAGGGCTTTGAAGGTGAGGAGAAGGACTTTGAACTGAATGCGTTGAGGAGGTTCTGGAGGACGGGCCTGATATGGTCGCAGGACTGGGTGAGGAGACGGGCAGCAGAATTCAGGATGTATTGTAGTTTGTTGAGGACTTTTGAAGATGAACCATACAGAATGCTGTCGCAGTAGTCGAGTCTGGATGTTATGAATGCGTGAATCAGAGTTTCTGCGGTGGAGAAGGTGAGTGAGGGGCGGAGCCGAGCTATGTTTTTTTTTACAATACAACAAAATTTTGAGGGCTAC